GGACATATTTTAGTTTCTGGGGCAAATGATTTTGCCACGTAAGTACTTTTCAAAATTATATGATTCATCACTTAAAGTTCTTATGCGATAAAATACCATTGTAACTTGTAGTGACTTGATCAGATTAATAAGATCAGAGTCAGTTTAAAACCTGGTATATGTGTAAACCGGTTCAAATTTCCATACTACATTAGCACAACGAGATGAAATTGTTCACACAGATCCCATATTAGTATGGGTAGTGACGATATTAGTGGTAATAAAAAAGATTAGGCAACGAAGATACGATTCAAGAAAATATAAATTGATGAATTTAGATATTTGGGATCTAAGGGAAGACAAAAAATGAATGTATCTGCACCACTGCAAACGATTTTGAGGCATGTCTAAAATATTTAGCCATTGGTTACGATAATCACGCAAATCCCAATCAGGTAGCCCGTACGTGTTAACATGGAGCAGTTCAATCATCAATGACTTCATGCGCTTATCGGTGACACGTCTTGGATTGGCCGCTCCTAGCTTTGCACCAAACAACATCGCCCGTCGAGGTAGGTGGAGATTAAGACCAGGATAGAATTCTCAGTTTCAAACAGCTTGTAACAATGTCTTTATTTATAGGATCATACTTTTTTCTGATATTAAGAATAATGTTTAATTACTAACTGATATTTCCTAGTAATTAGTTAGTTACTTCCTATATATCTTTGTTCGATCAAAGTCTTTTGGATGTAGTGTACATTTGATTTAACTACGGATTAAGATTAGCTATATATAATTGGTGTACAATGCCGAACAACCTGTTAAATAAGTTCCTGTATTCTTCATAATTATATGTTATGTAACTGAACCAATCCCTCTCTCTTTCGATGACGGGTGGATAGCAGTGAAATAGTCAATGCATCACACTGCAAGAACTTCGCTGTTCGTCTTGTAATGGATATGTAAGCTTCCTAGCTAGTTATCTCAAGACAACTCAGGTGGCGGGTTAAAAAATCAATTGAAGAAAAACATAAAAGCTCATAAAATGGGAGTTTTTTATGTAGCTACAAATAATGAACATATTTAAACCGTTCATGTACTTTCTTTAACTTTTAAATTCTTTGTTGCAACAACCTTCATTTCGTTCGCGTCTATACTGTTTTCGTCTTCTGGTAACTTTCGTCTCTTTAAAGTATGTTCTAGTTAGTGCAAACAACCCAGCAGCGAAGTCAATCGTGTTTCACGTTTAAATTGGTTAATATTATCAATTTTTTAATACTCAAGGCTTTCAATCTTAACATTTCTTGCTTTCTAGAAAATTCTGGACGCGCAATCGGCCAGGTGATGTTCTCAAAGATACAATTAGTGCAGTTGGTCCAGATAACCTTGTTCAAGCCGTCAATGCAACAAATTTGTTAGCTAACACATATTCATTTGGAGACCCAGAAGTAGTCGATAATTCATTTAATATTGACCTGTTTAAATTACTCACGGAGACACCTATCTCCTCCAACCGGATAGATACTCTTGATGATTTAGCATTTTCTACTAATCCAAATGACTTGAGCACAACTGAAATACCCGGACTTAATGAAGGACCGGTAACAGACTTAAACATAACTGATACTGATGATCCTGAAGAGCGTGAGAAAAACAAACTCCGGAGTTCTCGGACTATTCCGAAGGAATTTGCTGCCAATTGGGCAAGTACACGGATTACAGCAATGCCAACTGTAATGATGGCCACACCTAGTCCGTCAGCAATCGCTGCTGCAGCCGCAGCGGCGGCTGCTGCTGTCAGCAATCTAAATGCAACGCCGCAGTATTTGCCTCCAGTTAAACCACCCGCTTTGAATAAAGAAAGGCTAGCGCAAAGTGCTGCCCCAATCAACCCATCAGAACCTGAAGCTATCGTAGATCAAATACAAGACAGAGGTTTTTGTAAACCCAACCAAACACCCTTTGTTGAGCAACCAATTAGTGAGATGAACAATGGCGTTTCCACTCATAAGTATGACCAACCACCTTTCTCAGAACCACTGCCACCGAGGGGTTTGGAACAACATGTACCGATTCCTGAGCATAATGTAGACCTCAGAAATAATACAAGTGAGTACTTTGAATTTTTATATTATCTGACAAAATGGATTGTCATATAATATTATCGATCCCATCCTACTTCAAGTAATGTAATTATCCAAATCTTAACAATCTGAAACAATCCCCGCTTGCACTATAAAGGTAACTAGGTTTTTGATTCATTTTCATTACTGACACTAGACCATCAAAAGCGCGTTGCTTCGTGCCTCAAGGTACCAAGAAATAAAAAACACCAAGTGAGATAAAAGTAACTAGGAATTATGCATCCAGGTGTTGTTTAGTTTACTTATAAGACTACCGCCATTTAGTCTCGTTTCGACTAGGGTAGCTAACTTTTTAAATCACACCAAGAACTACCTGCAGTGGTAATCTTTAAAATTACAAACATGATATTTAATAAATATATTCTCTGTCATATCCCAATGAGTAGAAAAATTGTATTTCTGAAGTTTCGTGACTTAATGTAAGCCAGTTCTTCAAAGTAAATAAACAACCGAACTAAATGAACACAGGTTTAGGTAGTACAAATAAAACAATGCAGAATATTTTTAGTACATGGTATGTGTTAGCACTTTTTGTTATCTTAGCTTTTTTAAGCATACCACCATTCAGCTTGTCCATGTATGAGATAGGACGGTTATTACCAAATGGTAATGAGACTGAGTGTTCCCCTACCAGTAGATAACTGGGGTGTAATCTGCTTTTGTTTGTGGTTTAGTATGATTAAAAAATTTCCTATTATCGGGATTGGTACTAGGTGATAAGTTCTATGTAATTCATGATCTGAACTGCATTCATTCTTCATATTGTATTCAAATGTTACATAATAAAGTTTTACAGATCCTCGAGTAAGTTTATCTGTATGATATCTGCTTAGCTTAATAGATAAAAAGTAGGAAATTTGTATTATTATTTCTGTGCTTACGAATCGCATTGCGTTCAACTATTGTTTTAGATCCATCATTAGACTGGAATCAACGAAATGAAGGACTCTCTTTACAAACTGAACACAATGCACCTTTACAAACAGAACAACCAAACAATCTATACCGCGAGCCATTCAGTGGGCCTCCGCAACTGTATAACGAACAAGAGAACTTTTTGGAATCAAAGCCATTTCCCAGACATAGAGAAGACAGAGATTACAGAGATCATGAACACAGCGAGCAATTTAACCGGCCTTTTCCTGAAAATGACCATTACTATAATGGACCTCCTGGTGGCTTCAACAGTGGATCATATGGCCATCATAATCGTAATATGATTCCTAACGATCAAATGCATCCAGGAGAAAGGGGTCGACCATTTTCTCCTAATATGGAGAAATATCCTTACGACCGAAGGGGTGATCGACCTCCACCGATGAGGCAGAACTATGATGAAGATAGTTGGGGTAGGAGATGGCCAGATAACAGAAACACTCCTGATCGGTTAGACTATCCCCAGGGTCCACCTAGACGTCCTCCGCGAGAACACAGGCCGCCACACCCAGATTTTTACCCTGATCCTCGACATCCGCTCCCTCCTAACTTTGTCCCTCCACATAAACGTCCACCTCCAATGGGACCTGGTGGTCAACCGCCTGACCATATGAGAAAATATCCCCGACAAGACCCTTCTCGAAGCAAACCACCATGGACTGGTTACAGTCGGTGGTAGCCCAGAATTAAACAATCCTTGTACAGTCTGAGCAGCTCCGATGCTGCTTTTCTCCAGTTACATTTTTGCATTCTTAATAAATGCGTATTAAACTTGTGTAAACTACTTTTTTAATGTGCTAGCTGTCATTGGGACTTTTGACGTACACTCATAATCCGTACTAAGATTGTGTACACAAGCTACGACAGCATATTTTTGTAATATCAATGCAAGTAAATTTTGTCTTAACACGAGGAGGAAATCAGACATATCTGGCAGGGGATTTTTGGACTGAGAATATGTGGGTCCACTGCTTTATTCATCTAGAATAGCGGAAGTTTGCTTAAAAACTAAGCAATGGGGGGTGGGCAAATTCAAACACTTGATAAGTTTTGAATCGTCTAATGAACACCAACTTTCTTGATAGCCTGTAAATTTGCCGTACGCAAAACCGGGAATAGGCGTAAATGAGTGGTGCTGGTTTTTCACACGATCTAAACGCTTTATCAGAGTAATTGTAATTCGTCCGAGTAGATTGGTAACGATAAGCAAAAGGACTACTCAGTCACACTGGCTAAGTCGCTTCTCACGCACAGCTGTCGTCTGATTGATGTTGTTCTACCACATTTGTGAGGTTACTTAAAACTAACTAAATACTTGCACCTTAGATCTATGTCCAGCTCCTATACTCTACAACTACTGGGTGGACGGCTCAAAGTGAGACATGTTTTTTAATAATTGACCAAAACCGTATACAGCGTAAACTAGTTAACGCAACATAAAAAATTGGAAGTAATCAACAGGTCTATTTTCTATCATCAAGCTAAGTATATGAGCGGACCAGTCCTTCGTATCATTTTACACTCACCGGGTACAAAACATAACCAGAATTTCGCCTCTGTAATAAGAAACCATCTCACATACATCAGTAATTCCTGTAAAGACAAGAATTATAGTTATGCTTTTGCCATATCTGGACTCTGGGTGGATGCGTAAAAATACGTATATATCAACACTTTTATAAAAGTGAAATATGTGATGTTTATTATGAAAATGGTTAATATAAATTCCCTTTTATGAGTAAAATGTAGATGCTGAGTTTAACAGCAAAAGATAGGCTTTGACGTATTATGAATCGTAACAACTTGACTTATAAGTGTACAACCAATCAGCTATATAAAAGTTCGACTGAAGAAGCAAACATCCAACTTATTTATTCTAACAAACCATGACATATCATAAAGCAAAAGAAGGATCGAAGAAACGAGAGGTTAACAATACTACTTCTTAGGAGATAAGTTTATCTCGTCTATTATGTATTTCGTGTGAGTTCCACGTGCAACTAGTTCTCCTGACTGTTCGTTCATGAATTTGATTTCACAGAAGGCCATACGCTTCCCTTTCTTTAGTACATATGAATCTGACCTAATCCATGAGTCCAGTTTTCCCGGGTTTATAAATCTTCGGTGATTTTGGTTAGAATATATACGCACACAATGACTTACGATGCTTCAAGATTAACGCTGACGTGCTTCATACACCCTAATCTCACCAGATCGACAGAAGTTATAAAGTCGATAGCCCCAAGGATGTATCCACCATGTAAAGTGTTTAGTGAATTGGCTTCAGAAGTCGTAACTTTGAACCTACACGTCAGGCAATTATCTGTTACTGAAACAGCTTGGATTCCTCTGAAAACCTGGTTAAATGTTCCATGGCTTGTCAATTGTGATATGATCTGGTTAACGACATTCAAAGACATCTGAAATCGGAGTCGCATATGAAATAAGAGTATACAAACGTTTAAAAAATCACATCACAATATTATTATACGTTATTTCTATCTCGTGTTAAAAGTGCAGTTCCTGTCTAATAGTTTAGGTACCCAACATAAAACAACTTGACCAAGAAACTATACTTCACGTATCATCGCAGCATACGTGACAGTCCTCCTAAGCAACTTTACCGGCAAATATTTTGTTAACGTTTGTTTACGAGTTTTTACATCAAATCTAACAATTCTAGTTTCTTTATCATTAGGATTTGACTCCATATCTTAAGTTCACCCTATCTGAGCAACATAACGAAAAGTCCGTCAGTTATTTTCTTTCATACGGCTTTATGTACCACTGAAGTAGTTTTCAGTCATTCACATTCTTAATCTGTAGTATCGGAATGTGAGTGTTAATGACTCTTGACTTATTTCTCATCTTTTCCGGTTTTACTATGGACATTTGGAAAGAATTTCGCTTAGCCTTGGAGTTTAAATTCCAGACAATAATTGTCGTCTTTTAATGTGATGGTTCAAATGACTTAGGTTTATGTGCTTGGTTTTAATCTATCAGGAACAAATCCGCACTTTGTTTTCAAAGCAATGATATCAAAATAATTGACAAAATTATTGCAAACAACAGCAGGAAACCAGGCATTAAGCTTGCATTTAGATTTGAAAATTTCTAAGATTACTAAAACACGAGACAGTGGGTTTTCACATGTGGAGCATTCTAACTTATATATATATATATATATATATATATATATATATATATATATATATATATATATATAACAAATCCCCCGGTTACCGTGAGGTTGAAGAAGCCACCTCTTACGGTCTTACCGACCTTGAATCAGCCTACGAAGGTACAAAAAGGAGGCCGTGGTAAAGTTCAACACAATTTATTTTGTCTGGCCTAACTGTCTTATTTAATGATTCGGGCTACGCCAGAATTACTTATACTCGGTCTGAGAACTTAAATGCCATCAGTGATGAATCATTTGAATAAATATATACACTACATAGAAGTAACTGGACAAATTTTAGGTTCAGAGTTGTGTATTCAGGGCCTACAGCCTGTCAGTCCTTTTCTAGTAAGCTTCTGAGTGTCTAGACTCCTTTTGAATGGATCAACTGAAGGGGTGGACACCACTTCTTGTAGTTATATGCTCCAAGAGTTGATGACTCGGTATGAAAACCTATATGGTAGAGGTATTTTTTCGTTATTAAATTTTGTACTCGCCTACACTGATATCTGTGTTGGCCTGATCCGCTAGGAAGAAAAAAGAGGATATATGTGGACCAAAATAACTACACAGTATTCTATAAATCAAAATCAGATTACATCTTAATCTACTCAAGGACAGAGTAAATAGATCTGGCTTCTCAAACCGCTCTTTGTATGATAAACCCCGGGGTTCTGGGATTTTACAGCTAGCTCCACTCTGTACTTTTTCCAGGATGTACAAGTAATTTTTTAAGCAGGGGCTAGCACCCTGGTTGTAATTTTCAAGTTTCAGTTACACCAAGGTTATGAATACTATACTTTCTTACATCCTTATGCCTGTTTTTCCTCGTGGAGGGACATAGGCCTCTTACCAACGCTCTCCATCCAACCCTGTCTTAAGCAATCCTTTCCGATTGCTATTCATTCTTTTCATGTCTGCTTTCGATTCCCGACTCAGTGTGTTCTTCGGCAATGCTCTTTTCCGATTCCCTTCAAGATTCAAATTTACGGCTTGCTTCGTGATGCAGTTTGATGATTCTTGTGTGCCCTTTCCACTTCCAACACTCTTTTTCATTTACTGTTCAGCTGGAAGGTGGTTCGTCCTCTCCCACAGTAGGTTGTGGTTGATGGTGTCCGGCCCACAAATATTGAGTATCCTACGTAGACGATTGTTTGTAGGCACTAGTACATTCTTGATGATGGTTTTAGTAGTTCTCCACGTTTCAGCTCCGTAGAGTAGGACTGGTTTAACATCCGTATTGAATATTCTGTCTTCGCTCTTGGCCGAGAGTTGTGTGAGTTCCATATGTTCTTCAACTGTAAGAATGCGGCCATTTGTGATTACTGTAATGAACATATTAGTGTATAACTTGATGAATGCCCGTGTAGCGGTAAATAAATGTCCAAAATAAATAGCTCTGTAAATTTTCGACATTGGATGCTGACCACATTATTTTTAATGGACTCACCTAGCTGAAGGCGCTCGGTCAGGCATCCGCACCAGATCACGAGCGGGAACGTCGCGCTCAACAACCTCTGCGATCGCGAGCCAGATTAGATCAAACGATCCCCGATATATTTATAGCCTATCAAATATATCTTCGAGCCTCCTCGCTTCTGTCTTTTGATCTCACCTGGTGGGTATGCTTCATATTATAAAGTGTTACTCATTAAAGCGTTGTCAAACTCCGAATACCTGTGGCATATTCACCCGTCTTAAAGCCCATAGGATTCTAAAGCCCTTATCTGAGACCTCGTGGCAGTGGGCCATGGTCTTAAGATCATAATTCACTGTCACCCCAAGATCATAAAGAAACCGGACTATGAGCTCCTACCCTTCCTCCATACTGTACCTATTTACCTTTGTATCACAAATATGTATGAGCCATTTTTAGACCGACTAACCAGAACGTCTAAGTTCGCCTGAAATGTGAATACAGCTGAGTCTCCTGTTAATTATCGCCAGATATTTACATCATCAAGTTATGGTAGCATCGGGAACAGTTTTCGGCAGAGGTCGCAGAGTTGATCACCAATGTCTGCCTTCCATATCTAAGGACTGGCTGACTGTCTGACAGACTATATCAGTAATGAACTTGGTTAAGATGATTCCATGATCACTTTGTCCTATGGGTGGGAGTAAAGATATTTGGCTGAGATCATTGCCTTATGTTATGGCTCGATCAAAGAGGGAGAATAACCTGTGCAGGTCATATCTGGTAGGATTTCTTGTGCTTAGGGATAAAGCCAGGGTGGTTGTAGTTTCTAACAACTTGCAGTAAAACGATGTTTTAAATCACCATACTTCTATGTTCCTTAAATTTATCGATGGCGCATCCAGGTTACCTATAATAAAGTTTTTACACCTGTTTAGCCAGGATTTAATTCTTCATAGGAAGAAGTCATTCACTACACATTCTGGACTGCTGTGTACAACAAATAATTCAATGTCTTGCCGTTTAAATTTCAGCCTACAATGTTTGTAGAGTTAGTCATTAGTTTTAGCCCATAATATATCTTATTCTAGTTTCCTGACATTCCATTCTATTCGTTCTACTTAGGTCATGTTTTGACCTTGTTAATTATTCGCTTATTAGCCTTGACTGTTTTCACATGAGCGTATATGTGTGTACACTTCATGTCCCATGACTCATCACATGTCTGTAGTTTATTTTGTCTGCCTATAAATATTGAGTAATGCCCGGCTTGAATTGGAGTTGGCTTCCCAGCCATCTTCCATACAATCTAAACAGGAGTCAGATCAACGGGCACATAATTAGTAAGCCCGCCGACGACGAACGCAACGCAGCAAGCTACGTCGATGAAGGAACTTCTGCACTCTATACGTTCGACGAAAAAATTCAGCGAAGCCAGCGCAATATCCAATCCGATGCAATCAGCAAAGCCTGTGCATCATGGTATGGACATGCTCAAGTCGTATTATCTTATCGAAACTTTGTACACACGTCAACCATTCTCATTGATCCATTCGTCGGCTTGCTCCATTACGATTCAAATTATCATTATATGCTTATTATTACATTATTATCAATATCATGACCGAATGTGGAATTATTAATCTTGTTCGTGCTGTCATTAAATCATGACATTTTCGCAATCATATTACTCACCGAACAAATTATCATTTTATGAAAATTTCACTCCACTTTGTGAGAACTCATTGGGATATTTAACTATTCAAAAACGTGAAATTTTCCTGCTTTAAGTGAGTTCGTTCCAGTTTTTCATATCATTCTGATCTAATATTGCATTCATTCACTTAGTCGAGGTCAGCAATTTATGTTATCACAACATACATTTTTCATTTCGAAGTCGCCTCCTATTATGTCTATGGATGCATCTAACTAGCTGATTAGTAACCATTACGTTCATTTTATCTATTCTTCCACGTGCATAACTACATGCTGCATCACTTATCACTCAAGAACGCTATTCGAGTACTGCAACTACTATTCTATTTCCATCGCATTGCATATCAGAACATAGAGTTTAGAGCTAGCCTCTCAAAGATACACTCTTGTTCGTCACATCCAAGTCAGTCTCATACGTCGCCATCGCTAATCATATGTATTGGTATTTTTGTCATGCCTTGGTACGGTTTCGTAACAAACGAGGTCGAGCGCATCTCCCTCAAACCACACAAACCACTCTAGGCTTCATGACCAAGAAGGAATACGACTCTATGTACCTCGTCTACTCAGTCACTATTCTGTTCCTCTGGTCAGTCTACTAATACATATTTAATGATAACTCAATGCATTTGTCATGACGCAGACGACAACGTTCACTGACTTCAAATTTTATGATTATTATCCATTGCAGTACAGCAACGAATATCACCCTTCGATGCAGATATCATTTCACGACTTGCCTATTATCATCCTACGAACGGGAACTACGCATTTAAATTCGAATTCACTCATCACTAGTCGACCCGATCGAAGCTGCTACCTTGACGCGGTGGTCAGGCTTGCCTATCTTAATGACCCAACCGAGCTATATTGGCTGGAACATATGTTCCTGCAGGTTCTACCATGCCAGGCAGGTCGATTGGTGAACGGTAAGACTAAAAGCAGCAACTCAAGGTCTGAGGGCGAAGTCGTACTGCTGACTGTAGGGGGGGTGACAGCAGTAAGGTGTTTCCCTCGGACATCCAGCATGACAGCGATGCTGCCTTCCCACAAGGAGGGGTGGGGTTAAAAAGGTCGACCCTAAAAATGTCACACCTCACCTTACCTCACGGATTTCCGTCTCCGAAGGTAAGGCCCTTTGAAGAACGGAGCTAACACGTCAAAAACCTTCCACAAAAAGGCCGTGTGCGACCGGCCTCAAGCAGTTGTCCCCTGGGCTCTGCGGTCACGCTCCCAGGCCGTCAAGACCAACACTAATCCAATTTCCTTTTCAGGTTCCTCAAGAAATACCCTTCCACGGTGTGGGCAGCCGGGAAGTGATATCAGCCCTCATACCCGTGACAGCACAAGAGACCAAGGTGGTCACATCCAAATCTTTCCTACACCTTCTAATACCTCTCTTATCTCCCCAACTGACCCTCCCCACGTCTCTTTATCACCTCGCACCGCTAGGGCAAACGATTCGAGTACGCGGAACGTTATTCCTGGTCTCCTGAAACCACGCTCTAAACTAACGTCTGAACACTGCGCCAAATAGGACAGCCGGCTTCCTTAGCTAAGACTTCAGAATCCCGCGCAATCTATGTGTGCTGCGTCTCGGAAACGCGCATACAGGATCCGAGTGGTGTCATTCACTTGACCTCACCATGAGAAAATAAAGAACCGACTCGATTCACACTTCGTGTATCTGGAAGCCCTGATTCTGCTTCCCGTGGCCTCGCCGGGGTAGGTATAGCATTGAGTCCTAGGGCAGAACTAGCTCTCTTAGAGTGGATCCCAGTAGACAGTCGTTTGTGCGCTGTCCGACTGAACGGAACAGTAAGAATCCGGAAAGATAGGGACACTCGTCGTTGCCTCTTCGTCGTTTCTGCCTATTCTCCCACTGACTGCAGCTCGGTTGACGTAAAAGATGGGTTTTACAGAAAGCTTTCGGACCTTCTCCGAAAAGTTAAGCGCTCGGATGTAGTAATAGTGGCCGGTGACTTTAATGCTCAAGTAGGTAAACTAAGCGATAGGGAAAGACACCTAGGTGGATCTTATGGTGTCGTGGCTCAAAGAACAGATAATGGCGACCGTCTGTTGCAGCTATGCTCAGATAACCGCCTGTTCCTTGCAAATACTAACTTTAAACATAAGGAAAATCGTCTTTTAACATGGAGACCCCCTAATTCGTCCCAACGTTGGACCCAAATAGATCACATCGCTATCAGCCACCGATGGAGGGGCTCGATAGAAGACCGTCGCTCATTCTGGAGCACATGCCTAGATTCAGATCATGCTTTAGTGCGAGCGCGTATTTGTCTGCGTCTTACTGGACGTAGGAAAGACGCTGCAAGGAAACCTCTTAGGGTCCTACTTAATGATAGTCAAGCTAAGAGTATATTCCAGGAACAACTAGGAAAACAGTTAGGCAGCCATGTATGTGATGCCCACCCCGATGCAGCATGGAATGATATCCGAAAAGCTGTGGAAACAGCAGTGATATCTGCTAGTAAGGTAAACCGTAAAGTTAGGGAGCAACACTGGATCTCAGCAGCATCTATCGCACTGATAGATGCTCGAAAACTCATTCCACCTGGCTCTGAACATAATGAAGAGCGGAGTCAGCTTAAGCGCAAGCTGACAAGAAGTCTACGCAATGATCGCGAACAGTGGTGGGTAGCGAAAGCAAGAGAGATGGAAAAGGCAGCGGCAATATGTAATAGCAGACAATTGTTCAGACTTGTTAAGGAAACCGGAATTAGGAACCCGACCGTTAGCGAAACAATCTCAGAGAAAGATGGACATATTATTCATTCTCAATCCAGGAGATTGGATCAATGGGCAGAACACTTTAGGGATCAGTTCAACTGGCCTTCAGCCACACTTCGGTTTCCCACGATCTTTAGTCAACCTGAATGGCAAGTTAATGTAGGTCCTCCGTCTATTTACGAAGTTGAAAAAGCCACAGAAAATATGAAGCGAGGGAGAGCAGCAGACCCTGGCAGGTTTACTCCAAGATTTTTAAGGATGGTGGTCCAGTATTAGCAATGAGATTAACCGAGGTCTTAGGTAGAATTTGGGAACTCGACATAATCCCATCTGACTGGTTTCAATCACTGATTGTGCCAGTCTATAAGAACGGACAAAAGTCTTGTGACAGTCACAGAGGAATCAGTTTGATTAATATAGTGTCTAAAATATTAGCTTCAATAATACTTCGACGCCTAACTAAAGCTCGTGAAGAGCAGACTAGAGAAGACCAGGCTGGTTTTCGACTTGAACGTGGTTGTATAGACCAGATATTCACTCTACGTCAGGTCCTAGAACATAGACACACATTCAGACACCCCACAATGGTAGTATTTCTCGACCTTAAGGCGGCATTTAACTCTGTAGATCGTAAGGTTCTATGGCAGTGTTTGTCACTGAAAGGAGTACCAAAGTAGTACATTAACCTTATAAAGGCTCTCTACTCGAACACAACTAGTCGAGTGAGAGCTTATGGCGAACTGTCATCAGAATCGATTACGTCAAGTGGTGTTCGTCAGGGCTATCCACTCTCCCCATTCTT